TGATGATTTAGCCTCAATCAGAACATTCCAAGGGATGTCTCAAAACATATTATGAGACAGTAAAACTTTTTTCTTATGTGTGTGTCTCCTATGGTTTCTAAGTACTTCCTATCAGTTACTGATAGCTTTTCTTCTCTAGGTATGAGGAAAAAAATAAAAAGTACGCACGTGTCTTTCGAGCAGAATCCTCCACAAAAAGCGAAGAGATGTCTTCATCCACTCCTGCTTCATTCTTTGCAATACAGGTGTATGCTCCTGTGTCTTCATAGCGTACATTGCTAATGTGGACCTCGCTGCCATTTGCTGGGAGCAGAAGAAACAAAGGAGTACATGAGTTATGGTTTTTGTTGTGTCACTTTGCTCGCAAGATGAAACAGGTAGCATTTGTTTTAGCCCAGCCCATTTAAAGCTTTTGTCCCTCCTCCTTGAACTCCCCTAACTTGGGGGATATAAAATGTGGCCACAGATATGCAGTTGGTCAATGATGCACATTCTTCGGCTTGCTATCAGAGAGGAGCAATGCCTTTTTCTATTTCAGTGCCAATGTGTGCACATTTCATCATAGCCCAATCAATGCACGTGTGAACTCTCAGGTAGAGAGAGGCATTGGATTTGGTCTATAAAAATGCTAATTCAGAAACTGATATTCACAGATTAAAGGAGAAGATATGTTAGTTGGTTAAACAGCGTGTGCTTGGTTTTTTATAATCTTACCACTTCAAATTGGAAAATACTTCACTGTGGTAACATTTCCTAAAAATATTACTTGATACACTCGCACAAAATACTAAGGTGAATTGAAAATAGCTATAGACAGAGAAGTAAAGGAGAACATATATAGAACAGGTTACTTGTAGACTTCAGAACTGTCAGCTTCACTTCTGAGGTGGAGTTAACACATCATACCTGTTGCTCAAGGCTCTGCCTGAAGGCATGATAAATAAATTACACCAGTTTAAAAGTTCACGTTGCTCTCCGAAGTCTTTGTAGTGCAGATAAAAAGACATGCCTACGCTTTTACCTTGAAGAGTTAACTGTTTAGATAACTTTGGAGTTATATCAATCCCGTTCTTCAACCAGCCAAGCACTGGATTGGGGATACCCTCTGCATGGCACCGAAGGCTGGCTGTAACACCAGGCTCCCTTGCTTGGCTTTCGGGAAACACTCTTATGACAGGCGGAACTGAAATAGACAAAAAAGCATGATAAATCAGATGGAATGCAAATGATCAAAAACAGAAACACATTTTAAAAAGTAATCAGTGATAACAACTGCTTAGCCGTGTATCATTGGCAAAGCAGAAGGAAATTGTGACATTGACCATCTTGGCTACGAATTCTGGAAGACCTGCTCCCTGCCTTGTAGGCCTTTTCCACCTGGGCCCTGACTGATTCCAGCTATAAAAAGCTATGGCTGCTGAACAGACTCTTGGGCTGCTGTTTTGTTCCGGGGGTTTGCTGAGGAGGAGGGGTTGTTGCTGTTGGTTTTTTTGTATATTTATTTTAGATCTTGTGATTTATGTGGAAGTTGTTCAGTTTGGTTGTGTATTTTAATGTTTTGCTTATTGTTTATTACTGCTTTTGTTGTGTTGTAGTTATGCCTTTCTTCATGTTGTAAGCCACATTGAACATGGTTTGAATTGTGGAAAGGCGGCACACCTATAAAATTATGACTGTGTGCATGTAAATGTTTCCTAGCAGATATTGACCTCTGTCATACAATTTGGGAAGGGCCATAGCTCAGTGGTAAAACAGCTACTTTGCATGCAGGTTCGATCCCCAGCATCTTGAGGTAGGGCTAGGAGAAAGATTTCTTGTCTGAAATCCTAGAGAGCCCCTATCCATCAGTGTACACAATACTAAGCTAGATGGACGAAATGTCTCACTCTGTATAAGGCAGTTTCCTCCTTTCCTGTGTTGTGGAAGGGTGAACATGCAGGGCCATTTGCCACTTGCCTACATACCCATGGTAAGTAGATAAATATTTCTGCATTGAAAATATATTTAATCTTCCTTTCCAAGTTGCATGAGAAAATTAAACTCGTAGAGTCGGAATCAATACATAATTAGTGAGGGGAAAACCACATTTCATGGCTGAGTGGCAATCAGAGGATTACATCTAGTCATTTATGACTATACTGTTACCTCACCTGGGATTTACAGTGTAAGACAAAACTACTATGTGATGTAATTGTAAAATAAGAGTTGTCATATACAAATGTACCTCTGCATTAACAATAAAGCTCTCTAATTAAAATGGATTGCTTACACCCATCTCTTCAGGTTATTTACTTTCACTGCGATTGCAGTAGATCCCTACTAATTAAATTTTAATGCTTGCATCGTATGATTTTGTGCTAACTCCTTTCAAACAGAAAAAATAAAAGTGATAATCTAGAGGTAACTGCAGGTATCAAAAGTCCACATAGCGACCTATTTCATAGGAAAACTTCCAGCAATATTGTTCACAATCTAAGGAGCTCCAAATGCACATATACAGCTCTAGCATACATGCACCATGTAGGGCTAAATGTGTGGATGGAAGAACGCAGAGACGGAAAAAACAGTTGAGGATGTCTATTTTTTTCATATATTTCATAAGAAAAACACAAGTTCACAGAAAACCACACGTGGAAGATAATACCTTACAAAAGAGTCTTAAATCATTCCGAATGCCACATGGTTCTGAGGTCGTGCGCCTTCAACTTCCGGTATGATGAAAATGTACCATTTTCCAATAAATTTAATATTATCTTGCTTACCTTCCCCATCTCAAATAAAATGTGCTAACTTTATTATAAACATGATGTGCCAAATTCATAATAGCAAATGTCTACATAATAACTAATGTCGCTAGAATCTCTCTCTACCCCATTAAACTAGTATACCTCCTAGCTGCTGTAAGAAGATGGATTATCATTTCCTGATCCTCCAGTGGAACCAAGTACAAATAAAGGATTCAAGAGAAGATTACATAATGCTGTGCTAATAATCTCAGCTGAAGGTTTGTTTGCTTGTCTGGCCATTCTTGGGGGGAAGGGCAGTACAAAAGATTCCTTAAAAAATGTGGGAAGGGGAGAATTTCAGTGAAGACAGACAAGGCCTGGGGGCATGTGCTCTTTCCTTTTCATAATTCTAGCATGCTCCCAGTGCCAACAATCCAGCTTTATGTGCTGTGGGAAAGGCCCTCCCTCATGGGCTTTTCACAAATGCTTTTCACAAACACCTGACAGAGGTGCAAGAAAGGATTTTACTTTAAAAAACAAATGAATGTGCTGCTCTCAGGCACTCCACATGCAGCCTCTGTGGCTTCGTCCTCTCTCTGGAAAGTTCAGGTGAGAATGTTGTACAGTGGTACCTCGGGTTAAGTACTTAATTCGTTCCGGAGATCCGTACTTAACCTGAAACTGTTCTTTACCTGAAGCACCACTTTAGCTAATGGGGCCTCCTGCTGCTACTGCGCCGCCGGAACACGATTTCTGTTCTCATCCTGAAGCAAAGTTCTTAACCTGAAGCACTATTGCTGGGTTAGCACAGTCTGTAACCTGAAGAGTATGTAACCTGAGGTACTACTGTAATGCAATGTCTTCCCAGTGCTGTTCCAGGAACCACAGGAATCTAGAGAGGCTGTGGAATGCCATGTTGGAATTATGAAAAGGAAAGAACCACATACCACATGCTGTAATTTTATTGAGGAGTTGCCAAACACTCTCCCTTGAAAATTTCACAGAAATGCTAATGTCTTCACAAAAGAGGCACCTCATTTTGGGGGCTGCACAGAAATCGTTTCCCAAAGTTGGTATGTAGAGTTTAACACAGTGTTAAATAAAGTTGAGATGAAAATCATGTAGGTGGAGACATTTCCTAAGAAAGCAGCAGGAAATGGTCCCCATTTTCACAGGGATTTTTTTTTGGGGGGGGGAGACTGGGAAAATAGTGATCTTATTAAATAATACTGTTGTTGATAGTTTTCATCTTCCTCCAAAAATCTGGGGAGAGTTACTTTTGCAAAAAGGTGAGTGAGTAGCTGATCATTAATTACTTATGGACATAACTGATATTACCTGAGAAAGAAAAATCAGTCATACGAAGAATGCACTTTCCAACACTTTTAGATTTGTTTTTTTAAACAACAACAACACCCTAACATTCCAGTACCATCTTGAAGCACAGTTATTGACACGGGAGAAAATTTGAATGATAAAACATAAATTATTAATTTTGACTATTATGAAATGGGATTATCTGTTTTCCGACGCAACCCAACTGTTTAAAGGAAATGGCTCAGCATGACACCCTCATTATAATTATGCTGGCAAGAAAGAAATGACTTTGACGCATTTTGCACCTCAGTAATAATCATACACAAAATGAAAAGCATTGAATAGTTTTTGAAGGAGGAAATTAGAAATAACAAACTTTAATCTTGATTCTTATCATACGCTCCAGCTGTTCCTATTTATCAGACACAATTTCTGTTTTCTGGTAGTTGGAAGTTAAATCTCAGAGTGGGATGTACCTCGTATCTGCTTCTCGCGCTTGTAGAGGCATATAATGGGAGTGCAAAGGCACCATGCAGTGCCTGTTCTACATTTCCACATAATGCAGCTGCTGAGGTGCATACTGAACTGTTGACAACCTCGCTTAGGACAATTATGCTTTTTCTAGTGCAGCTGGAAAAGCAACTTACAAATAATGAGTAAAGCCTTTAGAATGTGAAGTAGAACCTTGATTCTCAGTGTGAGAATTGAGTGCTTTAGTATGCCCTCATTTCCATTTCTGAAGTGGTAGATGACAGGTTTTTATCCTTATCCTGGTAACCAATTTATTTCATGGTCGTAGGCTTCCTACAGGGATTTTATTGTTGTACCTAGGTGAAAAGCTGCCAGCTTATTTGGCCTTTGTCCCTTCTATTCCACCAGTCCTAAAAGAACCATAGAATTGTAGAATTGGAAGGCACCCCGAAGATCATCTAGTCCAGGCACGGCCAAACTTGGCCCTCCAGCTGTTTTGGGACTACAATTCCCATCATCCCTGACCACTGGTCCTGTTAGCTAGGGATGATGGGAGTTGTAGTCCCAAGATAGCTGGAGGGCCAAGTTTGGCTGTGCCTGATCTAGTCCAACTACCTGAAATGCAGGAATCTCAACTAGATCATACATGACAGATCCATTACAATAAAGCCCTGCAGTCACGCTTCATGCTGCTATCCCACCCTTTCTCGATGAAGGATATTAAGCCTCAGACTCAGTTCTGGACATTGCTGAACATATGTGCAGCAGCAGCCAACTGACAACAGGGAAATGCAGCTTCCAGTCCTTCCCAGTATTAAGTAACACTGCTATGAGCATGCTGGTGCTAGTGTCTAGGTCTTAATCCTGAACCCCAGTGTTGCTATTCACATTCCTCACCTATGTTTCCTTTCACAAACTTGGGGAAATTGGGGTTGTTGCAGGGAGATTGTCTGCTGCTGCTGCTAATAATAATAATAATAATAATAATAATAATTCAAAGTATATAACCCACTTTATCTGAAGATCCCAGGGTGGTGTATAACATTAGAAAATCATTTACATAATATAATAAAAATAGACAGGAAAATAATCACAGAAACAATAATAATAACTGCCCCCCATACATTAAAAAGGCCACAGATTGTTTAGAGGCTGAAGGCCTTGGGTAAAGAGGAATGTTTTCGCCTGGCACCTAAAGACATGTACGGTAATGATGGCACCAGGTGAGCCTCTTTGGGTTGAAATTTCTTGGTAGGGTGACAAGGACTGATTTCTACTGCTTAGAGTTCCAGATTGTGTGGAAGCCTGTGTACATGATGGTCCAATCTCATTCTTCAGACATTTGCACTGAATGTGTGGATTACAGGGGGAAAGCCCATTTGATGTGGTCCTACTTCCCACTCACATCTTCTCCCACTCAAATGTTCTTCCTAACCATTCATCTGAATAGTGCCCATGAATTTACTTAAAATTAAATCTTACAGGTATTGCTCTTTTTTCAATATACAGTGGTACCTCGGGTTACATACGCTTCAGGTTACAGACTCTGCTAACCCAGAAATATTGCTTCAGGTTAAGAACTTTGCTTCAGGATGAGAACAGAAATCGTGCTCCTGCAGCGCAGCAGCAGGAGGAGGCCCCATTAGCTAAAGTGGTGCTTCAGGTTAAGAACAGTTTCAGGTTAAGAACAGACCTCCGGAACAAATTAAGTACTTAACCCGAGGTACCACTGTATATATATCCATATAAATATTATTTTCTCTGCTTCTAAATTTTGTCGCTATTCTATGCAGGTAGCCACTATTCATGAAATTGCCATAGATATATCACTAAGATAATATAATAACAACAACTTATCTATGTTGTATGAAAAGTTGCTATTGGACTTGTGTTGTTTTATTTGCACATTGTACTTCTTTGAAATGAAGCAAAGTTTGAATGAAAAATTATAGACTGAATTCTATAAATTATGTATAAGTCAGTAAAAGAGCAAATGCCTCTTGTCTATGACATTATTAAAAACATCAATTGCTCCCTGTCACTGTCCTACCCCATTCATTGTGTTTCCACACTCAGATCAACTCAAAAGTTAATATGGTGAATATTCATAAATAAAATAAAATTGTGCTCTCTTTCTCTCTCTCTCTTAGTAGCACTTACCAACTTCAGAAGGGGGGGGGGGGCAGAACCATAGATCTGGATCAAAATGGTGATCTATAAACCAGTTTTGTTTAAATGTTTTATTTGATTTACATACTGATTAATCACATGTGCTCAGAAGTAAGTCTCAATGAACTGAAAGTATCATGCTTGCAGGTAAACGTACTAAGGATTTCTATCCTATCACAAAAAAAAGAAGTGTTATGCAGGTTCATTAGCTGCATTACCATATGTTCATAAGGGATTTAGATGAAAATGGGCTCCTGAAATCAGGTAGCACAGTCCCTAGAAACACTGGATCTGGACCCTGACACCACAGAGACCAAGTCCAACCATCAGGGTCTTTGCTTCCACTGGCTTCACAAGCCGCTGAATCTGTGCATGACTGCATTGTACAGCCCGGCAACAGAGAAAACAGGCTGCCAGGTTACGGGTCAGGAAGTTGTCACTTTGATGGTTTTGATTCTCCAGAAAAGGAGTGGAGCCAGAGAAGGACTACAGAAGAGCTCAATCAACCTTTGTCAGAACAAGTCATATCTTTTCCTGGGACCTGTTCTGAAGGACCTGATTTGACTCCAGTTCTTGACCTGGTAAGTGCTTCCACAGTCTCTGTGTTTCAGTTCCTTTTTCTTGCTATGTCTGCTGAGCCACTATCCAACTTCCTTCCTCCAGATTCCATTGTGGGTTCATCTTTGCCAGGACAGGGCATTAATCAGAAGTTCCATTCCATCACTATGCAACAGAGCTGGTGTTGTGTCATAGCTAGAGTCTTTGACTAGAAATGGAGAGACCAAAACTCAAACTTGTGCTCAGACACAAGGTCATAAAGGGTGACCTTGGTCAGCACACTCTTTCATCCTGATGTACAGTCACAGGTTTGTGTGTGTGTGTGTGTGTGTGCATATATATATATATATATATATATATATATATATATATATATGGACTATGCACACTATGCTGAGTAGCTTGGAGAAAAATAATAATAATAAATAATATGGTTCACCTTGTTCTCTCTGGAAATAGATGCTCTTGCCTCCAGTAGAGAATGGAAACATTTACGCTAAACAAAATCAAGTCAATAGGCTTAACAGGTATATTATTCTGAAGGTATGGAAATTATTTTCACTGCAGGCTAGCCAAGGCTCTGTCCATCATTCAGTACAAAGAGTTATGCCTATTTTTAGAGTCAGGCAGTATGTAAGGTAAGGTGAGAAGGGTGGGGAGATATGGTTCTCTAGAGATACTATGACATACATATTGACTCCCTCCTTGAAGTAGTGGTGGACCTTGGAGTCTCCAATTTCAGCAGTGTCCTATGCAACACCAATATCCCCCCTCCCTGGCCTCTTTGCTTCCATTCTACACCATAGTGGTGGCGCCCCCAAGGCCCCATGCCCAGTGTGACCAAAGCGGTCATGCTTCCTTAAATCCACCTCTGCTTGGAATCAGATAATCAGGGAGTTTATCAAAAATCAATAGTGGCCAAGTTGTGGTTGATGTGTCATATTGCTTGGGAACTATTAGTCTGACAGGTCTGCTGGCTGATTCACTTCATTTTTGTCTCAATGGGACAGTTCCAGGTTATACAAACACATATCCATCAGTGTTCTCAACCAGCCACTTTCCATCCTGCTCCCTCCCTCTTTCATTGTGAAGGGTTGCCAGGAACCGCTCCACCGCCCCGAATTTTAACTGAGATAAAATGACAGAACATTAGTGATAACAATTACTACTGATTCATATGAATGAAAATAGACATGTTGCAAAAGTGGTTAAAAGTCCAATTAAACATATTTCAAAGCATTCTCACATTAGATCTTAAAGATCAACTAAGCTTCATTATCTTGTTAACCTTATTTTGACTCTTCTGTTATACGAGTGCCATTGCATTAATTAATCTTTTTCTTGGACTACAAGTGCTGGTTTCTTTGCCAATATTTAGGAAAACAGTGGATAGAGCTATAAACTTCATCTAACCAATGCATTAAGCTTCACATTTTGACCCAGTTTAGCTCCAATGTGCAAATCCCAATATATTCATCTGTTCACAATCTGATTTGACGAAAGTGCAAATACAAAAATGTAACTACAGGAGTACTGTCAAATCATGGTCACAGTGATTGCATTAACTGTAGAGAGATGTATCCTTAATGTAAGAAACTACGTGGCACATTATAGCCCTGTAAAAATCTGTATCTTTTTCAATGCCCTTCTTCTTCCCCAACAATCCCACCTCCTTTAAGTTGACAGAGAAAAAAGGTAGGTGATTAGTTTGAACCTTTGGCCTAAAGAGATAAAATGCCTCCTTTTATTTGGATTTTTATGGAGTTTGATGAAGTAGCAGACTTCTAATAAGTCTTAACTCCTTCCTAGATATCAAGACGTCATAGTGATTGACACGTACAGAGCTAATAAATATTCATAGAGACCTCTGACCATTCTATTCAATAAAGCAAAATACATATTAGATAATCTGATCGCTTGGGAAGGAGCTTCAAAATACTAGCCAAAACACATGCATTTCAAGCCACTAAACAGAGACAATGGTGTCCATTGTTACTGAGTTCCAGCAGGTCTATGACAGCTTACTGGAAGCATTAGGTTGCTCTGCATTTTAAGTCCTATTTTTCTTTAATATGAGGACAGCTTTTTTTCTGGAAAGCATGCCACATTATTGAAAACAGACAGACTACAAATGGATTATTGCACTATGCAATAACATGATTAATCTGTTATTCTAAGCCATGTTTTCCCTAAATATCTATTATTTTACAAACAGAATACTAAGAAGGCACATTGTTTAACACAATTAAGAGCTCAAAGTACAGAGTAAATAAACTGTGTGGTCTTCCTTATTATTTTCAATAAGAATTAATTATTTAGAATTGCTACATGCTGTGATTAAATCTCATTTTCCTGTAGCTTTGTTTATAGAAGAGAAAATATTAATGAAAACTGATCATCCATGTCTGTTTTTGCTTTTTGGTTTTCATATAGCAATTAAGAAACCAAAACAGTCTACTGAATTAAATCTAGAGACGGCACCACAACTTGGCAAATCAAACATTTCCCCTTACCATTTACTTGAAGAATATGAGTCTGATAAAGTTTATCATAGCCATCTGCATAGCAGCTGTAATTTCCCATGTGAGTTGTAGTGATCTTAGTAATGTACAGGGACCCATCATCGCCAAAATCCTAAAGGGAAAGAAGAATCAGAAGGTCATCACAAGTACCTGGACAGAAGTACAACAGCTGCTCAATTCACTTTAGAGGTACGATACAAATACCAATGAATTTAAAGAGTTTCTAATCTCTTCAGTATAAATATTATATTACTGTGTCAACAACCTACATGATATCAAAGTCAGACTGGAAATGTGTCAAACCACAAAGATAGCAGCTAATTTGAAGACCAACTGACAGGTGATTAAAATGATGTGGATCAACATAGGGGATGCTCGGAGCAAATTTCTGCAAATGGGTCCGTGGACCTGCTGAAGTGACAGGCAGATCAGTGTTAATAAGGGGTCAGCAAAGCACACGTGCAGTAAGGATAATAATAATAATTTATTATTTATAACCCGCCCATCTGGCTGGGTTTCCCCAGCCACTCTGGGCAGCTCCCAACGGAACACTAAAAACAGAATAGACCTTCAAACATTAAAAACTTCCCTAAACAGGGCTGCCTTCAGATGTCTTCTAAAAGTCAGATAGTTGTTTATTTCCTTGACATCTGATGGGAGGGTGTTCCATAGGGCAGGCACCATTACTGAGAAGGCCCTCTGCCAGGTTCCCTGTAACCTCACTTCTTTCAGTGAGGGAACTGCCAGAAGGCCCTCAGAGCTGGATCTCCATGTCCGAGCTGAACGATGGGGGTGGAGACGCTCCTTCAAGAAGATCCAGCACTGCAGCCACTGGATTCAGTGGATCCATAGCTGCCAAATGCCCTGTTTTGGAGTTTTTCACACCTCACCACCACTGGTAGCTTAACACTCACTGACCATAGCTCATGCCTTCTGTTGCGGTGATGCTGCCCATAGAAGTATACCTATCTGTAGGTGTAGACCAGAGGAGACAAATTTATATACCACTTTACTCACCCAGCAATTAGTGTAAGGGAGGGCAGGATTATGTTCTATGTGTCCTGCCATTCCAATACCTTGAATGCATATTTAGATCAGACCTGCACAACTTGTGACCTACCAAGCTGAGCACAGCTTGGCCCATCAACCATTTAAACTGCATGAAACTTCCTTGTCCCATTTATTCAATCCAAGTTGGGCCAGCAAAACCAGGACATTCATTTACTGAGCTTCTGGTAGAGCATCATAAATGACTGACAGATCTTTGTTCAACTTGGTGGGTCACAAGTTATTTGGGCCTGCTGTGAATCATCTTTCAGCTATAAAGTCTTTATCTGTTAGACAGTTTTCTGCTACAACAAGGTCCAGAGAACGCATTAAGCATGAAAAATATATAATCAGCACAATAAACAGAAACAGAAAATATATTAGGACATGGAAGCTACCTAGTTCTTTTGTTTTTAAGAAGTAACTGATATCGCTTCTCCTTTTTTATATATTTTTTCATTTCCCCAGGACCCTGCATTCTTATAAAACATGAATGAATCTTTCCTCAGACTTGGATAGGATTTAAACAAGGTACTGAATTGCATACTTCCTCTTCAACACTTGAAATGTTGCAATAAGAAAAAAAAAGAAAACAAGATGAGCCCAGTTGTATGTGAAGTACTCTCCTGCGTCTACACAGTCTCAAATCCAGAAAGTCTTCAATAGTACTGTGTGGTTATCAACTATGATTTAATTAGGCCATTACACTTGCTGTTAGTAATTTCTTCTTAATTCTTATTTTGGCTTTTATGTTTCCACACCATTAATGTTATTAGGTACCAAGTGGGTGTTTCTTTTATATAGATGTGTGGTATATTTTCATAAAACTACAGTAAGTTAATTGGAACAACCTGTTAGCTAGGAGCATATGGAGTCCCATTGAAAGTATATTATGATGAGAGATAACTTCTGTTGTACAATATTTAATGCAACACTAAAAATACAACACATAACAGGAAATTAAAGGATACAGCAGCATAGCAAAGCACTTTTTTCTGATCTGTTTAAAAGCCTTCAGATGATAAAGAGTTCAAACTGGGAAACTAAAAAAGGTGAGATGACATAATGCTCGAAGCAGTGGCATATTGGCCTGGTTCAGACAAGCTTCTGGGTGCAGAAAGCCTATGCAGTGGTGTCCACCAGACTTTTTTCAAAGAGGGCCGGATTTGATGAAGTGAAGGGCCATGAGGGATGACCAAAGTTGTTAACCTTTTTTAGGATTGAAGTTGTTGAGCTTTTTTTAGGGTTGAGGTTGCTGAGGTTTCTTTAGGATTTTACTCCAGGAAATAAACTGCCACAGGGGCCAGATTAAACTGACCAGCGGGCTGGATTAGGCCCCCGAAATGGACTTTGGACATGCCTGGCCTTATCGAGAGAGAATTGGCTTGTTCCTTGCCACAAGGCACACTTGCCTTGCCATATATTGACGAATTGGATGAAGCATTTAACTGTAAAACAATGCATGTAAGTCTCAACCTCACAGTAATTTCCTAGATTCTATGTACTTAACAACAAAACTAATGCAGTAGACTTGTATGCATACTGGCCTCTATGCAGAAGTTTTGGCCATAAATGAACAGTCAACAGCATGAAGGTGACAAGCAGAATGGTGGTTGTTATAGGACAGAGAGAGATTAAGGGCTCAATTCAACTAACTGGCCCTGGAAGCCGTCCTGCAAAGACGTCCACTAGTGTAATGGGGCTTTCCCCCTTCTCCCCTCCCAGCTGGCTGGTGTGGGGTCAGGACATCTCCCAGAACAGCATGTGGGAGGAAGAGAGTGGAGACCATTTCATGAGACAAGCAGAAATGAATTTCAACAC